GTTCGCCCACATCTAACCTTGGTTTTCTTTTGCTTGTATTTGGTTCAACTATTCCTCTTCCTCTTGTTCTCAATTCTTTCTTTTTTTTCTAATAATTATGAAGGAGATGCCCAAATTCCAGCTGAATATACAAGTAGTTCAAACCAAGAAAAACGTCAACTTTCTTGGTTCTGGTTTGTTTCGAGAGTGTCTATATCAAAGAGATTACAAATGTTTCATCACAGTGACTTTTGATTCACAAATATTGGGAAAAATGTAATTGCTTCGGCAACACAAACCGTTTCACGAAAACGGAAAACGGTCAAAGTGTCAAAAAATGGCCTTCTTGCAGACAGTAAATTTTCTCTGCACAAATTAGGCCGTTTGTTTTTAGGCTGGGATCATTCCAACAACTAGTTCTTTCCGCTGAGCCCTTTTTGGATGACGAGAAAAATGAAGAAGTCCAAGAATGGTCTCAAAATATCCTTCATTGAAATTTTCCAGGCCATAGCGACTACATTCAAGTAAAAAACGCACGCACACAGGGAATCAGCCAGTTTTTCTATTGGTACCACTTATTTAAAAACTGAAATAGTTTTCGAGAAAATTAGAGTTCTAAAAGCATCTCAAAAAACAAAACATTTTCATAAAAGCTGCTTTTACCGAACAGAAATAATTACACAGAGGCCAAGCAGAGCTTCGCACACTTTCGATACAACAAACATAAAAAACATGGTAGAAAAAAAATTTCTAGGCTGAAAAAAACTAGGTGAACTAAAAATTTCGTAGGTTAAGATAAATAAACAATTAAGGGCCCAGCTAAAGCTAGAGATGTGTTATTGATATTGAATGAAATTGCTATCAAGATGCGGCACGAAAAAAGCGACTTTAAAAATTAGTTTTCCCAAAACTTTTGTTGTTTCTGCTAAAATAATTAAGTGAGAGGAGTAATCAGTTTTCCTAAGGATATAAAAATTCTATGACAAGAAAAGGAACCACTGCTTCTGCAGGAATAATTATTCTAACCGGTTCCTTCAGTTAAACTTTTCATCTCAGATTTGGTTGTCGAAATTGTAAAATTCAAAAAGTTTAAAAAAACTGATTTTGGAAATCTTTTCGACCGGTTTTGAGAACCTTTGACCACTTTGTAGAAACTTTTGAGTTTTATTAATTTTTTTTTTTGGGGGGGGGGGGGGTTTCGTCAAATCTTCAAATCTAATATTTTAGGTTTAAGCGAAACGACAGGTTGTTGAAAGTATACTTTGGTAACTGGCCATGCCCAGTTTGTTTGAGAAAAAATTGTGGCCTTCAAACAAATCGACAGTTTTTTTTTGGAATTGAATGACTTTACCCGAAAACTAACGGGCCAATTCTCAGTTTGTGTTCAATCAAGAAACCCGGTTTTGGGAATCTTCTCTGCTTAAGCGGCCATAACCTGCTCTTTACAGGAAAAAGCATGGATTTTGGAAATCTTTTTGACCGATTTTGAGAACTTTTGACCATGACTTTTCCTGTAAAGAGCAAGTTGTCGTCGCTTCAGCAAAGCAGATTCGAAAAACTGCGTTTCTCGTTTGAGCACAACCTGAGAACTGGCACGGTAGTTTTCGCGTAAAGTCAAAAAGTTTGAAAAAAAAACGTCAAAAATTCAAAACTTCGACTTTTTGGAAGGTCATATAATTTTTCTCAAACAAACTGGGCATAATCAGTTAAAAAGATAGGCTTTCAACAATCTGTTGTTTCGATAAAATCTAACATATCAGATTTGGCAGGAGAGCGAGAAAAGACCAAAAACGGGTCAAATAATCAAAAATTTGACATAACCGAGATCATAGCTTTCTGTGAAAAAATGGAGCGTAGACGCTGATGCACAAATGATTCACAACCTGCAATTTCGATTCAATCCAAAATCTCAGATTTAGGATGGTAGTTCGAGAAAGGTCAAAAATTCAACAAAAAACGGTCAAAAAAATCAAAATTTTGACGTTTTCCGAGGGCCATAACTTAAGCTGTCAGGAAAAACTCGGGAGTCTTTGGTTGAGCAAATGAGGTTTTCACAACCCGTTTTTAAAATTGAACCCAAAATCTCAGATCTGGCAGTGTAGTTTTCCAGAATTTTCAAAACAATTAAACAACGGTCAAAAAAGACTATTCCGAGGACCATAACTTTATGCGTTAAAAATTGTGCGTAGCCGCTAATGCAGAAAGCTTTTCAGGCAGTTCTATTTATTGAAACCAAAAACTCATATTTGAGAGGGGTAGTTTTCGAAAAATCGAAAAAACTCAAAAATATGGGTCTAGACTCTAGAAGAGTATACAGGCACACAGGGGAGTAGGCGGCCTTTCAATTGATTCGCCTTTTTTTTTAAAAATCGAAAAAAAAATTCTCAGAACTAAAAAAAAGCCAATTGGTAAACAAACAACCAACTTGAGAAAAACGGAGGGGAGTGTTAAAATTGAGTTTCATTTGAAACGACCCAAAATTAAGCCATTAAACCGATAAAACTAAGGCCGAAATAATTTGGGCCGACGAAAAATTTTAGCGAAAAAAAAACAAAACGAAAAAGGAAGTCAAGTTGTAGGAATAAAACAAACACTAAAATCAGCAATAAAGAAAAACGCGCTTAGCAAAAAAACTATTTCAAGATGTGACGTCTAAGCCGACAACAAAATAGCAGATAGATAGCTGGCGGACAATTTTATTTGAAACAAAACATTTCCTGTTTGAAATAAAAAACAGGTCCACGACAGATTCGAACCCAGGACATTTGCCGTCCCAGGCATATTCGTTACGTCCAGGCTAAGCTGGCCGGGAACGCATAAAAGTTTGAATTCAGTGTGAACCAAGACACAAGTGATTCTGTTAAACAAGAAAAAGGTCGACAGAAACAAGCGTAAGCAGAGCTGTGTCAATGAAGTTAGGGAGCTGAAAAAAAATATCTGAGTATTAAAAAAAAATTAAACAATGGCGAAGTTAAGCTTCGCACCACTCAGGAAAGAAAATTATCAGATGAGTTAATCAGAATTATCGATAAAAAAGCCGAAAGAATTGAAACTGACATCCAATAAGCTGAAACTTTTCTCAAAAAACATACCACGATAGATATACCAGTAGCGTATGCAAAGTTAATTAGAGACCGGCTGAAGCTGAAAGAACTTGAAGAAAGTCGAACAGTTTGAAAGAAAAAAGGTTTAAAAACGAAAGTTTGACTCTCCCGAGGGCGAAAAGGTTTGGGCGTAGTCGCTAATGCAGGCGAGCTTCTTGCGACTCCGTCTCTCGATTAAATCCAAAATCTCAAATTTGGGAGGGTAGTTTTCGAAGTCTGTAGAAATTCCGTAAAGGTAATAAGAGATTAGGGCATTATGCAGTCATACAGGGGAAGGGGAGGTCTCTCCAAAAAAAAACCCGAATTCACTCAATTTCATAATACCTACTTTTATCAAACAGGAACTAGATAATTTGGAAACTAAATCTACAGCGCTCAAGTCGAAAACCATGAAGCCGAAAAATCATGAGCAGGAAATTAGCAGCAGAACTTTATAATTATACATTCAAAAGTTTGAGTAGTACCCGGTAGTTAAGTTTGAATTGTCAAGAAAATGAGCATGTCAGCATATTTGATTTAACTGATTTTGTTTATGTAGCTGTTAACTAGAAAAAACGTCTATTTCCGGTTTGATAACACTTGCTAATTGCAAGCGCAAAAAAAATCACATAAAAGCTCTTCGAACCTCATTTTTTCATTATTGACAAATTATTGTTTAAGGTGACTAGCCTGAATGAAAAAAAAACTTTCAACTCGCAAAGAAATCTAACACAAGCGAAGCGACAAAAAGCAGCTCTAGAAAGTGCAATAAGAAAAACAGAAATAGGCCTCGAATTAAAAAAATTTGTTTAGGTATAGGATTCGATCTGCGACCTACTGCAATTAAGAAATTTTGAGTCTCACGCACTAACCACTCAACCACGCTTGCTTAACCACCGACAAACACTAGTCACGAACAAAGCAGCCACATATGCTGATGCTTTACCAATGCCATTCAGCAAAAGTGGCACCATATACAAATAGACGCAACTTTGCAAGTAATAATTTAGAATATACACTGAACCGAAGCTGCACTTCGCAAACACTTGCGAGAACACGACCAAAAAGCAGCTCTAAATAAAATAGTAGAAATAAGTCTCGAATTAGCAAAATCTGCGACCAACTGCAATCAAGAGATTTTGAGTCTCACGCACTATCCCCTCAGCCACTAACACCCGACAAACAAGCTTAACAACCGGCAAACGCTAGTCACGACCAAAGCAGCTACATATGCTTATAAATTGCCAATGCGATTCAGCACCAAATACGAAGAGACTCAATTTCGCAATTAATAATTTGGAATACAACAAATTGAAGGCATCCTCACTAACTTTGCATGTAACAAATCGCATATCATAAAGCCATATTATGTATAAATTATGCATTTCAAAAAATTGCCAGTTATATTGAGTTAAAAATTTCTGAAATCGAGTTTTATTGAGTTATGTTCTTTGAGACAAATAGCTTTTTCTGGTTCATTTGATGCATTAAAAATGCATCAACTGTTTTAACTTATTACTATTCGAATGTCAAAGCACATGTTATCGAAAAGCTGTAAAGGTGCCCAAAAATTGGCACCAACACTTGGGACTTAGGTTAGAAAAAAAAGGTTCTTAATAACACACTAAGCTGACACAAGTGTAATAAATAAATCGCCCTTTCGAAACTAGAAGTCATTCAATGTTTTTTCGCACCATTTCTTTTTTAAGTAGAGAGCGTTATTTGCCTTCTTTTCAGCAAATGAATTTGAAATTGAATTCAAAAAGAAAAGAAAAATTAACCTCTACTTGATGTATGAAAAAAATACAACTTGGAATAGTTCGAAACAAGTTTCTGGAACAAAAAAGAACTCATTACAAAAAAATTATAATCCTGAAAAAACAAGTGATTGTTTCAAAAAAAATGAGATAAGTAATGATAAATATAATAGCCATTAACGTTTTCGATTTGGGCCGGTCCGTGGGACAGAATGTTGTTCAACATGGGGATCAGGAAGGCGGCTGTCTTTCCGGACCCTGTCTGGGCACAGGCCATCAAATCCCGCCCGGCCAGCACTGCTGGTATGGAGTACTTCTGCACTGGGGTTGGCTTGTCGTACTTGGCCAGGTCAATGCTGTTGCGGATGACAGGGCAGAAGGAAACGTCCAGAAACTAAACACGAAGCTTGATACCACAAAAAATGGAGAGGGGAATATATTTTTTAAATGACTAGTTTTAAAGATGTTTTTTTAGAGAAGTGACAGATAACGACAACATTATCTCAACGGAGAGAACTATATAATAACATCGAGAAATGAACATTAAAACTTGGGGGAATTAAATCTTGAATTAAAGGTTGTTTTTCAAAACCAATTAAAAAATTCACATGATTCTTCAAAGTTAAGAAGCAGCTAACGTTTTCAATTCCCTTGGTCGGGTTGTTTCCCGTCACTTCTACCGGAATGTCCTCGTACTTGTCGAAATTGATTCCAGTGTTGCTACTTGCAAACAGCTGTGCTTCAGTTCTTTGGTTAGGGGGCAACAATTGCGTCCAGTCGTCCCCAGCCCCACCGCCACTTCCGCCGCCTTCCATGAGCCCCTGGGCTCTGCCATAGCCCCCACCCCCACCCCCACCTCCTCTTTGATCTCCAGCCTGCTGGTGGTAATCTCTTCGTCCAGAGTAACGACTAAGAAACCATCAAATCTAGTGTTCTAAATCTCCAGGTTTGAATTCATCATAGGTTTGAGTATAATTTAATCATTTACCCGTCCCGTTCACCTTCAAATCTGGAGTCATATCTCGTTCCTCCAGGGGCCTGCATGGGTGTATTGTTCATTCTTCGATTATCAAATCCCCCTCTCGGGGGGCCACCTCTGTATCCCCCTCCCCCTCCTTGAGGAGGAGCCCCATACATTCCTCCACCCCCTCGGTTGGATGCTCCATACACGCCACCCTGCATAGGGTCCTGCGCGCCCCAGTTTCCAGACTGGAATTGAGCCGGTCCACCGCTGCCAGGCACTAAGACATTCATCATCATAGATTTCATGTTTGTTCATACACCCGTATTAGCATCCGACCTTGAGTAGTTTAAGCAGTTGACTTTTCTTTTAGTTGATATTTCTTTCTTGTCATTAGTTGTTGAAATGAGTGTCACCGAGAGATATTGCATGGCTTGCTCTTAGCATTTCATTTTTTCGCGACAACTATGTTAGGATTAATAACTTTACACAGAGGTGAAGCTGAGCTTCGCACCACTTGCTATAAAGACCAAAACCGCTAAGTCGAAAAAAAAATCCAAATTGTCGAAATTCGAAATCTATCAAAAGAAAACAGGCTGCTTTTGAAACATGCAAAGACAAAAGAATATAAAAATAGCATCGATCGAAAAAAAATACCAAGAGGTGAGAAAGCCGAAAATACCCGAGCATAAACCCTTTGAGCCGTAAAAAAATTCAACAAGACTTTTGAAAAATATTGAGTCTCCCTTACCCTCACACACAAAAACAACTTTATTCAATCGCCAAATGAAACAATATGAGACGGCCAAGCAGATATAATAGAGGTCGAAGCCTATCCAGCCGAAAAAACAGGAAAATAAAAAGGCCGAAAAAACTCAAAAAATTAAAGACTTATCAAAAGTCATCAAGTACCCCTCACCGTCAAAACACACACACACAAACACACACACACACACACACACACAAATTTAAGCTCGTAGAACGACGCAAAGTGAGGGCTCTAAGCCGATATAACTCATGCGGAAACCTATCCAGTCGAAAAAAGAGAAAAGAAAAAACATGAATTTTAACAATCCGAGTTGGTTAAATTACAACCAACATAAAAAACAATTTCGAATAGAGCAGGCATTGAAAAAGCTAAAAAGTCAAAAATAAATCTTCAGCGGTAAATTGCTGCTATCATTTCAGTCGAGGTTGCGACCCGACTACTAAACGAACTTTATCTTTTAAAATTTATTCACGGGGCGAAAAACGTTTTTTTTTTAATTATAAAAAGAATTGAAAACTTTGAACAAATATTTGTTTATTTTTAAAATATTATTGGAGATAGCCGAACAGAACGAGTTAGATTACTCAAAATATCTTGTTAGGGTTCATCCGTATTCATTTAACACAGAGATGAAACTGAGCTTCGCACCATTTGCGATTAAAAAAAAATAAAAAAAGTGAAAAAAAATGAAATGTTGAAAAAAACTAGCATAACTAAATTTTTCGGTTTTTGTCTCGATTAAAACCAAGTAAGGGGCCAGCTAAAGCTGGAGATACATGTTAGATATTGAATGCACTTGCTATTTTGATGCGGCATCAAAAATGTGATTTCAAAAGTTGGACTTTGCCCAAAAACTTAGTTGTTTCTCTACTAAAATAAGTGAGATTTAACATTTTGAGATTATCAATTTTCCCAAGGAGATAACATTTCGGGAAGACAAAATTAAGGATTCACAGCTTCTCCGGGAACAACTATTACAACCAGTTTTTCAATTGAACTTTCTATCGCAGATTTGATTATGTAAATTGTGTAAACTTCTTCTGCAAAAAGCAGGTTGTGGCCGCTCATGGTTCCCAAAGCCTAGTTTCTCGATTGAACACAACCTGTGAATCGGCGCGGTAGTTTTCGCGTAAAGCCAAAAAATTTCCAAAAAACTGTCAAAGTTTCGAAAAACTGACTTCTTTGAGGGCCATATTAAAAAAAAAACGGGGCAAAGCGATTTCTAAAAATAGGCTCTCAACAAACTGTTAAAACGATTGAAACCTTGATATCTGATTTCGTAGTATAGTAAGCGAGAAAAATCCAAAAAAGATCAACTAATCAAAAATTTGACTTTTCTGAAAATCGTAGCTTTGTGTGCAAAAAAAAGGCGTAGCCGCTTATGCAGAAGCGATTCACGCAACCTGTAGTTTCGATTGATCTCGAAATCTAAGATCTTTTCGAGAGAAGTCAAACTTTTTAAAAAAAAAAACGGTCACAAAATCAAAATGTTGACTTGTCCGAGGGCCATATTTTTGGTGCATAAGCAAATGAGCTCCGCACAACGTTTTCTTTAAACTGAATTCAAAATCTCAGACTTACCAGAATACTTTTAGAAAACATTCAGAAAGTTTTAAGACGGCAAAAAAATCAAAAATTTGACTTCTCCGAGGACGATAACTTTGAGAAAAAAAACTTTGTAAGCGGCCGCTAAACCAGGGGAGCTTACCACTACCTATTACCTTCAGTGTCCAGTGAACCCTAAAATATTTGCTGGTTTTCGAGAAGTCAAAAAGATTCGTAAAACGGTCAAAATTTAAAAAAATTTACTACTCCAAGGGCCTTAATTTTTAGGGTAAATTTTTTTTGGGTGTAGCCGTTTATGCAATCAAGGAGAGATTAAGTGAAGATAGACTATAGCTGAGTTCGCAGGCACACAACGGTGTACGTGGTCTTTCAATTCATACCCCTTTTTTGAGAATCAATAGAAATTACTGAGAAAACTAAAGAAATTTTCCAATGAAGTTGGAAATAATTTTCAAAAAGTAAAAAAAAAACAAACCGATTGGTAAACAATCAACCAAATTGCGAAAGGCGGAGGGGAGTGTTGAAAATGAGTTTCATTTGAAAAGACCCAAAATTAACTCATTAAAATGATGAAACTAAGGCCAAAATAATTTGGACCGACGAATAATTTTTAGCGAAAAAAAACAAGGAACGAAATACGAAGTCAAGGTAAGTAAAAATTCAAAGGGTAGGAATAAATCAAACAATAAAATCAACAATAAAAAGAAGCACACAGCAATAAAACTATTTCAAGATGTGATGTCTAAGCCGACAACAGAATAGCAGGTGAATAGCTGGCCGACAATTTTTTTGAATTAGAACATTTCCTGTTCTAAAAAAACAGGTCTCCGACAGATTCATTTGCCAACCCAGATCATTTGCCGTCACACGCATAGTCGTAAAGTCAAGGGAAAGCTGGCCCGGAACACATAGAAGTTTGAACTCATTGTGAAACAAGACAAGTGATTCTGTTAAACAAGAAAAAAGGCCGACAGAAACTAGCGTAAGCGAGCTGAAAAAAACATCTGAGTATTTTTTTAAACTTTTTTTACACAGAGGCGAAGCTGAGCTTCGCACGACTCAGGATGCAAAAGTCAGCTGAGTGCATGAAAACAAGAATATTCAACAAACCGATTGATAAACACATAACCAACTTGAGAAGTGCGGATGGGAGTGTTAAAATTGTGTTTCCTTTGAAACGACCAAAAATTAGGTCATTATGCCGATACAAATTAAGCCGAAATAATTTAGGCTAACGAATTTTTCAGCGAAAAAAAACAAAGAAAATACGAAGTCAACGTATGTAAAATTATTAATTAAAGGCGTAAATCAGACACTTAAATCAAATTAAAAGAAAACTTCCCGCAGCCAAAAAAGGATTCCAAGATGTGACAACTAAGCCGACAACAGATAAGTAGACACATCCTTGGCCAAAAAATATACGAAAAGCAGACAAACAATCGGCCAAAAAATATAAGTGAAAAAACATATATACGAAGTCAAGGTTAGTAGAATTAAAAATTGCAGGAGTAAATAAAAACATGAAAAGCAACTAAAATGACACTGTATTCAGCAAAAACGATCTAAGATTAAAAACATGGATTTTTCCCAAAAACTTAGTTGTTTCTCTACTAAAACAAGTGAGAGTAAAAATTTCCCAAAAACTTAGTTGTTTCTCTACTAAAATAAGTGAGAGTAAAAAAACAGTTATTGCCACCGGTTTTTTCAATTGATCTTTTGATCTCAGATATATTGTGTTAAATTTAAGAAAAAGCAAAACACTTCTAAAAAACGGTCAACTTCAAAAAAACAGCCAATTTCTTTCCAAAAAAAAACTTTTGCTGCTAAAAAGCAGGTTGTGGCCACTTAAAGAAAGAAAGAGAAAAGTTATTTCTCATTGTTAATGGTAAACATGCATATAACGAGAATTAAAACATGAAGCACCAGAGACAGTGAGGGGACAGTCAACGAAGCCAATTGGGTTACAGAGCAATGCCCGTTTTAGCAAATGAAATACGAAATTAGAGATCTTCAAAGAAAGGGAAAAAAAATCTGAGAATATAAAATGAAAAATAATTAAGTTTGAATAAACACTAAGCAGCAGATTTATGGCATTGTCTAGACAGGTTGATGGCATAAGCTTAATGACTTACGCAGAGAAGATTCCCCAAGCTGAGATTCTCGATTGAACACAACCTGGATATTGGCACGGTGGTTTCCGCGTAAAGTCAAGAAGTTTCCAAGAAATTGTTCAACTTCCAAAAAATTGACTGCTTTCAAGGTTATAACTTTTGTAAGACAAACAGCATAGCCAATCATAAACCTAAGCTTTCAACAAACTGTTGTTTTGATTAAACCTATGATATCTGACTTGACATTTCTGAGAAACATAGCTTCATGTGTGAAAAAATAGAGCGTAGCCGCTGACGGAAAAGGGTTCACGCAACCTGTATTTTCAATCGAACCCAAAATCTCAGATTTGCGAAGATAGTTCTTTGAGAAATAAAGGATTCGCCGCTTTTGCGGGAATACCTATTGCAACCGATTTTTCCAATTGATCTTTAGATCTCAGATTTGTAGTGTAAAATTTAAGAAAAAAGCAAAAAACTCAAAAAAAAAACGGTGAAGTTCGAAAAAACGGACCAATTTCTTTCCCAAAAAAAATTTTTTTTGCTGCTAAAAAGCAGGTTGTGGCCACTTAAAGAAAGAATGAGGGAAGTTATTTCTCATTGTTAATGGTAAACATGCATATAACGAGAATTATAACATGAAGCACCAGAGACAGTGAGGGGACAGTCAACGAAGCCAATTGGGTTGCAGAGCAAGGCCCGTTTCAGCAAAGGAAATACGAAATTTGAGATCTCCAAAGAAAAGGAAAAATATATAAATTTGAAAACAAAGATAAACATTGGAGAAAAAAATACTCAAGTTTGAATGAACATTAAGCAGTAGATTTATGGCATTGT